TTAGGGCCTAAAATTAGATCGTCGATTTTCGATTGCGAAAGGAAGCTAATACCATCGACGAAACGATCATCAAGGCTTTTGCTGTCGAGGATCCGGATGTCCTTGTCTTCTAGGATCTCAATGCCGTCTATCGGCATAGATTTCTGCGTGGAGCCGGAATCGAGTACCATGATCTGATTATCGGAATCCCCGATAATAACTTCCCCGTTACCGCGCATATTCACAACATTGATCGCGTCCGCATCCTCACCCTCAAGAATGGTCACGTCATGTGAATTCTGTGCCATTAGATCGCGAGCCTCGCTGTTCGTCATTACCTAAATAGAAACACATAGTCAAGGACATAATCAATGAACACAGAGGCACAATCAGTGAAGAAAAGCCGGAAACCGAACATTGCTCGAATTAATTAAAGAATCTTCCCCTGTGTCATTCTGATTTCCATATCCGAAAGTAAATGAAACATGAAACACAAGACATAGGATCTCAATTTAAATATGAGAAATAATAAATCATAACATTTGTAACATTAAAAATATAATTTGTAATATTAAAATTTTATCAAGCATGAATTCAAATCCGATAATTTTATTAATATAATTGTTACATCATTCTTAATAAATAATATTTCATTAGCAAAGAAATTCTAGGGTCTTGTAATTTCTCAAATAAGATGTCAGCATATAAGATCTCAAATCTGAAAAATCTTTGCTATCGATGATGAATGATTCATTACCTCGTAACGACCATCCTCGGTGGCACGCACGAACTGTATTCCACCCTGGGCAGCCAGTTCCAGTAACTCGTTGCAATCCTCCATCGCTGAGGATACAACAGTACCATTCTGGCGATCGGGCTCGTTTCTAGCTGGCTCGCTGTACGTGAACTGAGAATCCAATGCCGTGACCAAGCTCTCTGTCGACAGTGCACCAAATAAACGCCATATTGCAGCGACACTTTGAAAAACATCGCTAGTTTAACGAGCCAATTATAGCGACAGAAAATTCTTTTAGAAACATATCGCGAAATAGAATCGTTCGGCTAATATTAGAATGCATGTCATTGTTTAAACTATTAGCGTCTCAATTTATTACAAAAATTCCTTTCAGTCAATCTTTTATACTGGAATTAAAACAATCGAGATGATTAATTTACAATTTCTTTCTCTAATTTTCTTTCGACAACTTTATCTATAGATATTTTTGCTTTTAATAAAATTTTCATTCCTCTTGAGAGCGATCGAAATGACGAATTAATAACTTTTCAGAGTGATTTCATAAATTGAGAATAGAAATTTAAATAATTTGAACAACTTAAGTGATTTTTGGTCCAGCATGCATGAATCGGCCCTTTCATTTCTTTGATAGAAATTTTATATTTGGATCACACTGATAATTAAGGAACATTTGCAGAGCTTCTCTTTACTTTAATAGAATGTACAGATCGTAAGAAAAATCGTTATTTGCTCACCGTGTTCGTTCTCGGGTCCGGGCGGTTCGACAATGAAATTTATTTTCCCATCAGAATCTATATTTTGAATAACCGTGGCTACCACCGGCACTTTTACCTGGACTGCTTTGATCCTGTCAGCGTCAGCAGAAATTGTTGGACTCAGACTCATCTTCCCTGCCATACGTAAATCTTCTGCCGTAGCAGGAGTCAAGATCTAAATTCGCAGATGATACCCATATTTTAATTAAAAAAAGAAAAAAAAAATTAGAACGAGGAACATTAGTGATATAAAATGATCGGTAAGACTGCTACGTTTTTATGAGTCCCGGTTGGAGAAACTTTCACGAGGACAGGAATTCCTTTGGCTGGTTTAAACAACGCGAATGGCGTTTGTTCCTCAATCAATGCCATCTCCATCGCCTTTGTGTCAATCTTGTCTATCACCACAGGCTCCATCACATCCGACTGTCGAAATATATTCCAGAAATTTAGCAATTTTTCTGGAAAACTCACGGTTCGTTACTTAATCGAGCTACTGACCATTAATGGATCCTTGTCCCTAACTTCGATAGTTTGATTTCGGTCGCCATTTGGCAGCTGTACGATCCTCACGTTTTTACTGAAAAGAAATATCGCCTGTTGTATACAGAATTGATTTTTATTCCAATAAACTGAAATACCCTCTAATTTTCGTCAATTTATTAATCTAATGCTTTGTACCCACCGTTAAAAATTCAAGCTCAAGAAGGCTTAGTTCTCTTAGCATGGAAAAAAGCCAATATATCGATTCCGCGGTTTGTATCACAAAACATACTTGGAACCGATATCTCAACTTCTCGTAATAGCACCTTGTTTTAACAAAACGACTTTTTACTAATAAGAAATGTTTCTACTGAAAAGCAACATGTTTTGTGCCGAGATCTTTACGTATTTTATTCCCACAAGAATTCTTTGTGACTCTAGATCGTACGATGTTAAAAGGAATAAGAATTCTTCTCGGCGTTAAGAATCTTCAAAATCAGCAAATATATGTTAAGAAAAGGGCTTCAAACGAGTAAGAGATCAGTTCGCTGAGAAAAGGGAGGAGCATCAGCCTTCTAGCAGAGTATGAGATCAACATTCAAGTTGCGGAAGCAGAACCCGTCTATCAAGGGGCAAATTAAGCGTCGTTCAGTTCCGTTCGGTGACGTCTACCTACTTTCTTATGACGTTCGGATCGTTGATGCTCGGCTGCACACCAGCCGGATGTCGATACTTTATCCCGTGCTTGTACTCTTCGTGCGATCTCAAAGAGAATCGACGCGGAAACTCTTTGCCGCAGATTCCGCACACGTGCTGCATTTTCTCCGCGTGTGCATGCGCTTTGACCTTGTGGCAGACCAAATTCGACATTTGATTGAAGCCTTTGCCACAAAGCTCGCATTTGTACGGCCTCTCGTTCGTATGGGTAAACACGTGGTTCCTCAAATTGCCTGACAACGGTACGGTATTTAACTGTTGCCGGTTCCCTGGGCACCGGCTTACTTACTTTGTACAAGCTGTTTCAGAATTGCTGCCGCATCGCAGAAATCGGATCGCGATCGATATAAACACGATTATAAACTTGGGCATGTATTATTTCACCTATTATTTTAACCTTTCTAGTACCCAAGAGCCGAAAAACCACCGATTTTTGTCGTATTTCAATGCAACATTTTTTTGAACGTCTTTTTTTTTTTTTTTTTCTTTATAAAATGTTTCCGCGAAAGAACAGTGTGTCTGCTTTAGCGAGAATTTCACACGTTCAGTTTCTGCTGTATAGGAAAATTGTAAGGTACTAAAAGGGTTAGCAATGGATAGAGCACGATATTAGAATTGTAAAGATAGAGCAATAAAGTTAATAAAAAACAGTATGAAGTAGTATCGGACTGATAAAAATTTAAGAAAGATATTAGAGAAACAAAATCGTTACTTCTAACATTAAGCGTTGATTTGTAAATCTCTTGAAAAAAATTGTTCTTATTGCTCACCGAGTGTAAAATTGCATCTGTAATTCTGAAAGAACTTGTATATTTCGCAAATAGTTCAATAATTAACAATTACCTTTCTGATGAAACCCCTTTCCACAAACCTGACACTTGTGTGGTTTGTGCTCCGAATGGGTTTTCCGATGGGAGATCAGCGTAGATACTCTAGATTAATTATACAGAAAAGTGTCTGATTGATCGAAAATTTCAATAAAAAATTCCCATTATCTCGAAATAAAATCATACCTCGATGCAGGAATGCAATCTCAAAGAGATTTTTAGGATTACGGTAATCGAGCGAATTGTCCATTCACAAAGAGTTTTTATAAGCCCGACCGATCGAAACCACATGAATTAAACGCATCATTATATCGCACTCGAGTGGGCTCATTTAAAAAACATGCTACTCTACAAGATTAATTTATAAAAAAGACCAACCTATCATCCCCGGTGCTCGTTAAAATTTTCTTTCCGCTTTTGCGCACAATCACCGCAATTTTACGGCGATTCAAAACGCTAATGA